GAGATCGTCTGTAGATAAAGAGTCATTTGATGCGAGTTTCTGTAATTTGTAGGAATAGACCTGAATGCCAGACACAATCAAAGGCTTTCTCTGCATCAAGGAAGCAAGCAAACAGTTTACTGTTCTCTTCCTTGCTGTAACAGATACACTCTTTGAAAGGACAGCCGTCATGGTTGAGTCTACACCTTTCTGGAAACCATGTTGTTGTAGGGGTGAGTGAGTGAATGTCTCCACGCGAGTCTACCAAGTATTACTCGTTCAAAGAGTTTGTAGATCGATGAGAGAAAGAGTAATTGCTCTGTAGCTGTTTGGATCAGACCGTTTCTTATTATCTCCCTTGAACAGAGTTATAACTAACCCTCGTTTGAGAAGTCTGGGTACATGTTTCAGTTCGATGAAAAGCGTTGAAGAGTCTGACTAAACGGAAACTAATGTATACAGCCACCATAGAGGATGTGTTCATTGCAGACATGGTCAATGCCAGGGGCCTTTCCTGTTTGAGAGTTGTCATTGCCGTTGATATTTCTCTGTCTCGAGAAATACTTGGGATGTGGATTGGTGTACCGTGGCTTGTAACCAGCGTAGACTCAACATGATTATAGTTGTTTGTGTCAAACCTATTATCCCGGAGAGTGGAGAATAGAGATTTGCAAAGTAATTTCCCCATCCTAGAGCTATGTCCTTTGCATTCTCAGGGTTTTTGTCCATCACCAAAGTCCAATTCTGACATTGTTCCAACCCCGAACATAATTTTTCTTGAATTAATCAGACTCCAGAAGGAGGTTTGATCAGTTTCTGCGGCAGTATCAATCTCCTGTGACATTTTCCTGTGATGTTCCTCAATAAGTTGTCTCTGGGAACATCTGAACAGTCTCTTGAGGTCCTTGTAGTGAACATAGCTGCTGTGTTCCTCTCCTCGGGGTTTGCCATCAGTTACCCACAGCGCACGAGCACGTCTCATCTGGTCGTGTAGTAGCTTCAGTTCTTTGCTCCATTACGGCTTCAGATGTTTTTTGAAGGAATGCGTTGGAATGTGGAGGTTGATAGAAGAGGTCTTGTAAGGAAGTCTCTGAGGTCACGTGATAGCTGTCTTGTGTAACGTTCTCTTATGGCCACCGCATCCAGTTTTTTCCAGTTTAGTCCCATTCTGGAGAAGTCCTTTGGTATGGATTCAGTAGTGATATTAACATTTAATTCAAACACAACAGGACGATGTCTACTCACATTAAGAGGGTGGTCCTCCAATATTTCGCAATGAAACACCGAGCTGTGCAGGGAAGAACCGATTAACACATGATCAATGAGCGAGCCACATGTATCATCATATGAGACATAGGAGTAGTTAGCACCAGTGGTTTTGCTCGAACGAAGTTAACACAAGAAGGTCGTTTTCGTGAGCAAGTTCAAGTGCTTCTTTTCACGCTTCTGCTACGAGAGAATGTCAAACTGGCAATTGAAATCCCCATGAAGATAACAGTTCCTTGTTCATTGTACTGAAGAACTAGATTCCAGAAATTCTCAATATACTCAATGAAACTGTCACACTGTAGTTTCTGCAAGGAAGGTAGACCTGGAACATGTACATGTGATTTCCACGCACAGATATATGTATACCAACAATTCTGTCATCTTGGACATCAATAACACTGACAAATTCGTCCAGAGCGTGGTGCCACCAGAAAGGCTACTCCACCTTTGCCCACCTTCCTGAACAGTGGAAGTTTCAGATCTTTATCGCGCCAGACACCATGAGCAGTATAGTGTTTGCTTACATCATGTAGGGAAACAGATCCTTTTCAAAGAGCCAATGCTCACTTAATCCACATATATGAATATTTCTGTCATGCAAAAGGTTTCTGAGGTATGGTATACTTGGGACTATTCCTGTTGCATTCCAGGTCATCATGTTTAAGGATGTCAGATTCATTGAGCTTCTGTAGATTGGGTCTTAGTATGCAGCGACATAAACACATTCCTGCTGAGCCATGGTCGACACATCACACCATGGGGCCAGAAGTGCTGTACTTCTAGCTTCTTAACATCATCCAGGAATACATTAAGACGAGCTGACACAGTACCCTTCCTTCTGCTGGAGAACAGTCTGATAACTGATACTCGAACACCTCTATCCAACAGATATTCGCGGATCCGCTCTGTCTTCACTGAGTCAGTGATGAAAGTTTTATCTATACACATACATAAAGTCTGATAACTGATACTCGAACACCTCTATCCAACAGATATTCGCGGATCCGCTCTGTCTTCACTGAGTCAGTGATGAAAGTTTTATCTATACACATACATAAAGTCTGATAACTGATACTGGAACACCTCTATCCAACAGATATTCGCGGATCCGCTCTGTCTTCACTGAGTCAGTGATGAAAGTTTTATCTATACACATACATAAAAACAAATTTAATTATCAGTTGATATGTCGATAAATTGATGCTTTTGAGTCAGTGGATTGAAATTTCCAGTCAGAGATGCGTCAGGCGAAAGTCAGGATAAATCTGTTTTAATGCTTAAAAAACACATTAAGTTTTGATTAACTCTGACTTCAGTGATCCTGGTGGTTCTCAGAGGATGGAGATATGCTGTTATGTTTCATTGGAGGTATTGATTGTACCTGCATGTGAGCTTGTCCTTGGAGACCATCCCCATCAACAATGGATGGCCATGTCAATAATTAACGTACGAATGGCAAGACGTCATTGATGTACTGTACAGTGGCAGGCGCCGTTGGTCACGTCCAACTAGTCTGCAGCTCATCATGGACCTGTTTTGTAATCTAACAAGATTTTGGGAGAAAACTGCTCTTTTTACCTTGATTGTAACTTAAATCTGTGACTTATGGACTAAATGAGTTTAGTTGTTCTTAGTTTTTAGCAATATTAAAGCGATATCATGGCGGGGAACACCAGAAAGTGGCTTCACACATTGTACCCATGTGGAAAATCGAACCTGGGTCTTCGGCGTGACGACCAAACGCTTTAACCATTAGGCTACTCTACTGCCCCTAATGGATTAGTGACTGTCTATCTCAGCTGTGTTTCCTTACTCATGCATGTGATTTTACAGACAGATTCTCTCACTAAACACAGGCTTTTTCCTCGACTCACAAACACTGGGGTCCCCAATTATTAGTTTTAAGGGTCCTTTAGGGCAAAATGAGGGTCCTGTGAGGTAACAGTGTAGAGAACTGTACATTTTGGCATAGAATCCAATATGTACATGAAATGAAAGATTTGGCCGGCATAATTGTTTTTGATGTTCACCAGTTTCAATGCCAGTTACTCTCAAAAGAAGAACTAATATGTGGAATGAAATTAATCCTTGCTCAACACTTAATACATCATTTGAAATGAAAATAAATATTATTATACAGAGATGTAACATTTAAAACTATCTGAACCTGCTTTTCTACGTATTTGGTCACGTCTGTCAGAAAGTAACCTTTACTAATATTATTTTGTTGAGTATATTAAGACAGTCTGATCAAAAGCACCAATGTAGTAATACATAATTTATGTGTATATGTGTAGACAAATGCTTAGTCACGGAATATATATGATTTTGATAGTAACAAATAAACCCATTCAAATTAAAAAGGAGCCAGAGTGAGCTGGGAGATTCCTGAACCTGGGGAAATCTAGACTTCATTGCTTCATTTAGGGCTTTACCTTTGCAGGGATGGCGAGGCAGGAGGGAAAATAATGTGGTTCAGGGACTGTGAGACAGACTAAATGTATCTGATACTATTACTGTATTAATGCTTATCATGTGTTAGTAGGACCATACTCAGACAGCTTGCATGTCATTGCCGTGTGGGGTAGCCTAGTGGGTAAAGCGTTGGCTCGTCACGCCGAAGACTCGGGTTCTATTCCCCACATGGGTACAATGTGTGAAGCCCATTTCTGGTGTCCCCCGCCGTGATGTTGCTGGAATATTGCTTAAAGCGGCGTAAAACCAAACTCGCTCGCTCATTGCCGTGTGCATGTCACATTAAGAAACTAAAAGGAATTATCTCCTTCACAGTTACTGTAAACGTACTTATTTTCGCGTGGTGCAATTTTCGCGGAATTGACAGTTTAGACTACATCGCGCGGTCAATTATTCGCGCAATCAGTAATTGCCGGAACTGCCAGCTGTCTCTTTAGCCGCCACTAATAGCAGTGAAAACAAACACAGTGGCTTAACCTGTCAGGCGGCGTTAATTGCTTACTCACAGGAAATCCCTATCTGTGCGATATACTAGTACACAGTAATCCGTTTACTCACGGAAGAGATGAAAACACATCAGTCTTATATTCCGAATTCTGACGATCTGACGGATTAACTTCTACTGTATATAAAGCTCTTTGTGATTTCAAACAAGCCGGGTTGTTGTGAATGAGATGATTGAGTGTTAAGTGACTATTCACTTCATGATGTACTGGTAAAAAAAATCTTAATGAATAAATAAAATACTGCTGTATTATTTCTTTCCGAGTCGTTTCATGGCAATCTGTTTTGTATCAAACCATCTGTCATGTGACCAATTTCCATGGCGGCCACAACACACATCGCTGTTTTCGCTAATTCGGCGATGGGATTTGGCTCATTATTTAATTATGTTTTGGGAAATCCATTACAGCGACAGTTAAGTAAGATTCTTTATGCTACTATCAGTCGTCATTTTAAGATTCCCGTAGATTTCTGTCTTCAAACTTGATGTGTTATGGTAACAACTCAGGGCCGAACGTGGCTGGACTGAATGAATGACAGGTTTATTCGCGGTGTATAAATTTTCGCGCTAAAACCTGCGCGAAATATAATACGTTTACAGTATTGCCAATAATGTGTGTGTCCAGTTTCTTATTTTGTTGAGTATATTGAGACAACCTAGTCAAGAACACATATGTAGTCATACACATTTTTTATGATGGTATTTAGTGCTTATCATGTGTGTATACATTGTTAGTAGCAGCTTGTTTGTGAATGAGATTTCTCTGTTACAGCTATCAAAGGAAGGCCAAAAACAATCAAACTGTTTCTTCAAGAGCATGCTGGACACAAGAATGGACGCTCATTCTATCGACACACAATTTTACCAATGTTCAAAAATGCTGATGTCAGTGTGGATATGACAGGTGGGTTCAGAGTGAGTGAGTGAGTCACTTTGGCTATTATTTCTGCTTCAGTGATCTTCCAATTCCTCTCTCTTGCTTCTGCTTAATAGCGATGTTTTCTACAACAAAACGTGGAGTCTTGAATGAGTGAGTGAGGTAGTGAGTGAGGGTAGTGAATGAGGGTAGTGAGTAAGGGTAGTGAGTGAGGTAGTGAGTGAGTGAGTGAGTGAATGAGTATGGTTCCAGCAATATCATGGTGCCAGACATCAGAATTCTGAAATGGGCCTCACACATTGTACCTGTGTGAGAAATATTCAAACATACTTTCAAATTGTCAATCTTTATGACCATTGCTTAGTCTCCCAAACCCATGGATAATCGCTAAGACAAGCAGGATCGATCTATTGACTGATTACTCGATCATTCACTCCAGCACTTGTTATCCCCTGCAACACGTTTTGCAGGCGGTATTAAAATGGACTCCATCTGTCTGTGCGTCTGTGCATATTTGTCTTTTCAGGTCCAGTTGGGCCCGTGTCCACATTAGGATTAGTTTCGATCAGAAGCGCTAAGATGATCGTAACTCCCATACTTTAACATAGACTTACGACAGTCGTAGCGCTACGATCGCTTTGAGGAACGGGTCCCAGAACTTTAAAACCTTTCAATTCTCTCCTTCCACTTTGCTATATACATTTGACATTAACATAGCTCGTAGACATAATTCCTGAAGAGTATTTTGCCATTGTGGGTGATATTGATGACATTGTCTTCTTGTATCTAAATTCTTTTTGCCAGGGTTCTGATAAAACAGTTCCCTATCGTCCATTTTGTACCCAATGTTTGCCATGCACACACGGGAACCAGATAGGTTTGCCTGCTACCCAGGTAGTAGATTTGGACCCATCGAAGCCAGATGTCAAACCATAATCCTTTTGTGAAATCTTTTAATATTTATGGGATCCTTAGATTTAAACCTATAACCCTGAACCTGACGGACCATGAAACCCTTTCATTTCTTAGCATTGTAGTCAACTGTTCATTAATTCATTATACAGTCCTAAAGTACCCAACAAAAATGGATATTGAATATCTACTCACAAGCTTGATGTGACTTATTCAGTGTGAGTAATTACTGTTCATGGCTGAATAAAATTTTATTGATTGAAAAACTCACTGATAGGTTTTGGCACACTTAAATATGTTGATGGTGGTTGATTCAAAATGTAGAATTCATAACGCATGGGAATTCTCGGTTAATAGTCTGATGGGGAGCTGTTTATAGGATTTTTCTGTTCATTAGTGGTTGCTGTTTAACACATTTTGCCATTATTGTATTGGAAAGTCAATCAATCAGTATTACTATGCTGTGATTTGTTTGTTTTGGGGTAGGCTACAGGTTACACAAAACCAAATGTTTTCCATAGATTTCCATAGTGACATTCTGTTGTCTTAAAAAATAACCAGACTGTCAAATGCCAGTAAATATATATATATATCCACAGTATGGCCTTAAAGCCACGGTAAAAGCACAAAGTTTGGCTTGGTTAACCAATTCCTTTTCCGAGTACAGGACATTGAACACACCAGCCCCAGTTCCGCACCAAATGTCAGCTACCTGAAAATATCTCTGCACATATTTAGCATAAGTCATCATTTAAAAATTGACAGAACTAAATATTGAAAAATATGATATGTTTTAATTACTAGATGGATGTACATTAAAAAAACATCAGCTGATTTACTTGACAAATGCCTAATTTTATGCTGCCCACAGTTTTAAGAATTAAATGAAACAAAATAATTTGTGTTTTTTTGGAAGAAAACATACTTACTGACTATTCTCCTTTATTCAGTGCCCTGCTCCTTTACACGTCACCTGATCAACTTATAGAACAATCAGTAATAATATCTATTTAAGGGTCTTGTGTATATTTCTTGTATATAACTGAAGATATTTTTCTCTTGTTGTTTCAACAAAATTTGTTCACTCTGAAAAACAGATTTAACTCATACAGATATGATAAGCACTAGTGGTGGTCCGATTAATCAAATAATCGAAGGTTGGTCGCAGTGACTAAACGACCAAGCAATCGATTATGTTTTCTCATAATCGAACACAAATAATTCTAGAATCCTTGTTTTCATTAACAGCATTTTTCACTAGGTTGGTTTTGTCTGTTACATTTCATTAGGACTACAAGCTCGTTCCAAGTCATGATTGAATTTATCTTAAAGACTCTAAGTAATTTATCTTCCTCGATACTAGTCATCCTTTAAAGATGTGAAATTTTGCCAAAAAACCCCCAAAGCATGAACACATTTCATAAATGCCGCTAACCAATTATTTTCGATGATTGATCGGTTGTAATGAAGCAATCATCAATTATTAGATTTTAACCAATTCCCAACACTAATAAGCACTGTCAAATCAAATCCCAACCCATACGGGATGATGGGGTAGCCTAGTGGTTAAAGCATCTGACCATCATGCTGAAGATCTGAGTTCGATTCCCCACATGGGTACAATGTGTGAAGCCCATTTCTGGTGTCCCCTGCCGTGATATTGCTGGAATATTGCTAAAAGCGGCATCATAAAAACTCAACTCACTCCCAATCCATACCATTTTTGTCAATTTTGAAAGTACTTAGGGTTAATTGCTTACCTGTTATTTTTGTGTCATTTTGATGTTGAGGAAGAAATGTTGAACAAGAGCTGGGATCTGTCTTAGCTTACATTTCTATTAATATTGTCAAGAGTTTGCTGTGCTGGTGTTTAAGGTGATGGGTAATATCTTTAAATATTTTTCAGAGGTTCAGCATAATGAACTCATCAAGCAAGAAATGATCCATATGAACTTGGAGGACTTTGACTGGTAGGTGGACAGAAGTAATATGCCATTGTGTATAATTCAGCCCCCCCCCCATTTTTAAAAAAAAATATGTCCGTTTCCGGTAACCCGACCGACCCTATCCTAACCCCCCGACCCTAAATCTTTTTTTAACCAAGTCAATATCATGACTGGAGTTTCATTTTTCATTTTCATCCAAATCAAGTATAATATTTTTATGGTTTTCAGTGTACATAGGGCTAAAATGGATTGCATTGAATTGGCATAATGGGTTCTTACTGACAAAACCTGCAAATAAATAACATAAACAATGATTTCATATAGAAATCTTTCAATGTTTCATGACAAGGCATTGTCACTACATGATATGGTACTCTTGAAAACCTTCTCAGGTGCCCACCTGGTGCTACTAAAACAAAAAAATGTAAAAAAATTAGAAAAACCGACCCACCTACCCTATTTTTGAAAAGTATGTAATAGGAAACGGACATATATTTTTGGGGGGCCAACATCAATGTTATGTGGAGGAAGTGGACTGGGTGATTGCATAAGCGCCCGGTCCTAAATTACAGTCAGAGGTATCAACTCAACAGGACTCATTTATTACACACTGACATTAAGTAGGTGGAATATTGCTTAGTGGCCTGTTAACAACCAAAAAGACAATGTAAGAAATAAATAAATAAACTGATAACAACACGGGTTTAGCCTAGCCTTACCATTACCCTCTGCATTTGAGAAGCGGCAACTAATTTGGTGATTGTGTGGCCACAATGGCTACTGAGTTCATATGGACCTTGGTTACTAGATAGACAGCATGAGAAGTCAACTGTGAGCTGTCATCTTGGCATGCTCACACTATCAACCTCTGGTTCTCCTGCTCCATGTCTGAGTCCATTTTGCAGGTCATGTGATCATGATTATGCAGGTGACCAACATTTTACATCCAATCGTTCTCCGTCTTTTTGCACCAACCCAGCATCATAATTTATTTACTTTATTTTTCAGCATTGTTGCATGTGGTGGTGATGGGACAGCGAACAAGGTGGCAGATGCACTTCTCAACCGATGGCAGAAAGACAATGATATTGATGTGAAGCCAGGTTTCTCACCTGCCAGGTGCAACATGCCATTAGGCATTATTCCAATAGGTAAGCAAATTATATAAGGCATATTCATACCAGTGTAGGAAACTTAACAGAAAATTCTACCAGACATCAGGCCTGGTATCCCTGAAAACTTACCAGCCCTTCCCAAAAGTTGCCAGACCAACTTTTGTTTCACATTTCAGCTCAACGATAATCAAAACAAACTATTAAGTATCTTTGCTTTCACATCTATTGAAATGCCCAACAACAGAAACAGTTTCATCACAGTGCTTTGAAACAGGGCGCCGCCATTTTACATTACAGTGCACTCTGTCAAACTGGGACTCTGTCTTTCTCGGATTGCTGTATAAACAGGACTGAACTCACGGTCCCGACATAATCCTTCTTTGTTGTCATAATAAAAAAGTTCTGTATCTCGGACTCTCATTATTTCGGATTTCGGACCAAAGTGTCGGCCCGATAAGGTAGTTACATGTAAAAGCATTGCTATATAATTCGGACTGAGCAGGAAGTCCGCTTGGCCAATAAACCTTGAATAAACATTCCGTTGATTGGTTTGTGAATTTTGTCTTACTTACTTAGCAGGAAGTCCGCTTGGCCAAGACCGCGTGGTCTAGCGGTGAACGCTTATTTACCTTTGATGCGACTAACACCAATTGTAAACTATAATTGAGCCGATCATGTCAACTCAGTGTCAATGTCACTATGCATTAAAGATGCCATCAGACACAGTGTGATATCAAACAGTTGTAAGAAGCGATTTTATTGGATAAAGATTGGTTTCTAATGACGCTTTTTCGCCACAGTCTGCTTTAAGGGTCGTGACTGGTCAAAATCAGACACATGACCTAAGGCAGCCAATCATATTACGGCAATGGATACCGTCCTCGTAAACGAAAACTTTTAGATTTAGACAAAAGTTTTGGGTAAAATAATGCTATTCTGAACATATAAAGTAAGAAATCGCTACCTATACGTAAATTATGGAACTTATTCGACTTATCGTGCTAGGCTATGACCTGTGACAAAAATGCTTCATGTATATATTTTCGCATTAAACATCGTGTCCGAGCGTGAAGATTGAGGCGGCGAGAGCCAAGATGTCACTTGTCAACGAGTTGACTTACATTACATGATCGCACAAAAAGATGGAAATAGTAATTTTATATGTACGTTTGACAACTTTTATGAATGTCGTTCATTTTATTCATTAGTTTATTCAATTTATTTAATGAATTCCTCGAAACATCGTTACTTTGCTCTTTGACAATGTTATTGTGGACCCGCTGCCGAAGCAGGTGTCTGAGAATCGTTGTTTCCAATAACATTGCGAAAAATAGTTTATAAATTTAATTCTGCTGATAATATATGATAAATTAAAATTTAATAAGTGTTTTCAGACATTGTGAAATGTGATAGAATCTGTGTACTTCGGACTACTGTATAATTCGGACTTTTTAGTCGGTCCCAAGCTGGTCCGAATTAGACAGAGTGCACTGTACTCCGCTGTTGATATAATGCCTGTAGGTGAACAGTTGACATGAACCAAAATAGCCGTATGTGAACAGTTGATATGAGCCATAATACCTGTATGTGAACAGTTGATATGAGCCATAATACCCGTATGTGAACAGTTGATATGAGACGTAATACCTGTAGGTGAATAGTTGATATGAGCCATAATACCTGTAGCTGAACAGTTGATACAAATGTCCTTGACCTTAGATGAAATGTGGATGCCAAAAAGTTGATCACTTCGAAATTTTGGAGTATGAGTATAAACAGAGTGATAAAATTGTTGCCTTAATTTCGTCTTTGTGTCAATAAAAATTCAGGAAAGTAGAATGTTTCTGTCATTCATTTGTTGCAAAAATGAAACAAAAACCTAAAATTCGATCATTTTATCATAAACTAAGCCATCACGAGTTATCTCCCGTTATAAACAGGAAAAATCATGGTGAAACATTTTGCATCTCGTTCTGCTGAAAAAATTACAGAAAAACTGTGTACCTGATAATACACAAAAGATCTTAAGGGTACAAAAAATTACACAGTGTTTTGAAAGGGTGTACGGGACTGTAAGAGTGACCCTTGTAAATTCCATATTTCGGCTTCGCCTCAGGAAATACGAAATTTACAAGGGTCTTAGAGTCCCGTACACCCTTTCCAAACATGGTGTAAGTAATACCTGTAGGTGAACAGCTGATATAAGGCATGATATGTTTGAAATTTGAAGTCTTTGAATAACATTCCGATGGTGATGTAATGATGATGATGATTATTGTGTTGACTTTGTATGTTTAATAAAGATGCTGTTTTGTTATATTCCCAGGTCTGACCAATCACATCGCAGGGTCTGTTGTTGGCACCGTGGAACCTATCTCAGCAATACTACACATCATATATGGTCAGTATGTCCAGACTACAGGGCAGTTACCATTCTCTTCCCACAGAGGTTACTCAAGTCATATCTGGGGCGGTGGGGTAGCCTAGTGGTTAAAGCGTTCGCTCGAAGACCCGGCTTCGATTCCCCACATGGGTACAATGTGTGAAGCCCATTTCTGGTGTCCCCCGCAGTGATATTGCTGGAATATTGCTAAAAGTGGCGTAAAACTAAACTCAGTCAGTGAGTCAGTCAAGTCATATCTTCCCGCGTACCTCTGTTATAATGCAGTCATATTTCCTGGTTCTCGTAAAATCCCTTAGTGGCAAAAATCGCTATGTGGATTATCTCTCTTCATTCTATCCAGTCAGAACACATGTTACATCAACTTAGATCCAATCTGGCAATCCTGATCCATGTTTCTTGTGGATATTCCTTCCCAACACTTGCTCGTCTTGATTAATACAAGCAAATGTGGGGCCACAAGTATCCTTGTGGACTTGTGTTGATGTGACACACAAGACATTTAATGGCTGGCTTGTCTGTTTTCAATGAGGGCGATGGAGACGCCATTGATCCGCCATAACATGACTGAGTTCTGTCTAGAAGAAACATTTGCACATTGCTCAGGGGGAGAGGTTCTAATTTTCCTGAAGCATATGGAAATTACTAAGGCTTTGCGAATGGTCACTTTTCGAAAATGTCACTGATTGCACAGTTAAATCTGATTGCAACCAATCACGAATCCTGAGCACTTGCACCAATCAATGAAAGGGCCGTATTAGAACAGAGGTACGTGGGAAGATATGACAAGTAACCTCTGTGGGAAGAGAATGGGCAGTTACAGGCACACAAGGTTTTTGGCGAGTCAGCAAAACTCAGGGCTGGGGGTATATTATGTATATATTTATATGTTAGATATTGTTAATTTATGTTTGGGGCTGTGTGTTGTAATTGAGTTTGAATATGTTTATAATAGAAGGTAATAATTATGATAGTGAGGTTCCCTAATAAGTGTGGAGGAGAAATCGTACTATTGTGTTTTTCGAGTTTTAATAAATCTTTCATCAGCATTTCCATCACATCTGTTGTGTTGATATTAGTCATGTTGGTGGCCAAGCTGAAGTAGTGCGGCATTGTTGTATACGTGCGCAGTGAAGCTCCATGAAATCAGATGCATTTTCAATCCAAATTAATACCGTCTGATTTTATGGATTGACCAATCAAATTCGAGCATTTCACGTAGCCATGGTAGAATTACAGTTTTATGTTATCATGTTTAAAAGTTGTTATTAAAGCTTAATCAAGCATAGTGATTTTGTTGTGTTTTTGCTCTATAAATCAAGCATTAACTCTACTATAGGTAATTTTTTGTTTTAAAATACTTCATGCAATATATTGCAATACATATCGCAATATATGCTTTCGCATCACAATATATCACAATATGAAAATTCTCTGCAATACCCACCCCTAATAATGTTCCGAATGGGCTATGCATAATTATAAACATACCCTACATGCCTGTAACATAAGCCATCATTATCTCAATCTCACTGTCTTTTAATACAATATATTTTGCACTCTTGGCTGAGGGTAAGATATTGTAATTTGAAACCTGATTCTGGGTTAGAACTGGCCTTCAGAAACCCATTCCTGTCTTAAAAAGCGATTATCAGTCAAACTCCTTTCACAAGCATCGATTTCACCAATATGGTAAACATATGTGACCATTGGCTCTTCAATCTTGTGTCTCACATGATGCTGAAATATTGTTCACATGAAACTAAAACAATTGTTCACATGAAACTGAAATATTATCACATGAAATTAGATACTGTTCATATGAAACTGAAATATTGTTCACACAAACTAAAATATTGTTCGACACTGAAACAATTGTTCACATGAAATTGAAATATTGTTACATGAAATTAGACATTGTTCACATGAAACTAAACAATTGTTCACATGAAACTAAACAATTGTTCACATGAAACGGAAATATTGTTACATGAAATTAGACATTGTTCACATGAAACTAAACAATTGTTCACATGAAACTAAACAATTGTTCACATGAAACGGAAATATTGTTCACACGAATTGAAATATTGTCTGCTTGAAACTAAAAAAAGTGTAAAAAAAACCAAATGTGTTTCTGCAATGTTTTGTAATCTGTATATTGCATCATGTTTTCCCAGGTCATAAACAGCATGTAGATGTGTGTTCCGTGTACTCTGAAGACAAGTTTCTCCGATGGGCATTCAACTCACAGTATGGCTTTGCTGGCAATGTGCTGTCTTTCCGCAGCAGATACAGCTCATTAGGTGCTAAGAAGCTAGACGTTGCATTTATCAAAGCTTTAACTAAAGCAAAACTCAGGTAAGATATTCCAGGATTGATTACTTAGTTCTGAGACTTATATTGTGGTTTGTTGTTCAACACTGCACTATGCAATATTCCAGTTCTCTGGCAGCAGTCTGTAAATAATCAAGTCTGGACCAGACAATCCAGCGATCAACAGCATGAGCATCGTTCTGTGCAATTGGGATACAATGACATGTGTCAACCAAGTCAGCAAGTCTGACAACCTGATCCTGTTAGTCGTCTCATAGTTTACTGAAGACCAATTCTAACCTGGATCTTCATGGGTCTCTGACTGACTGAGTTTGGTTTTACGCCGCTTTTAGCAATATTCCAGCAATATCACGGCGGGGGACACCAGAAATGGGCTTCACTCATTGTACCCATGTGGGGGATTCGAACCCGGGTCTTCGGCGTGACGAGCCAACGCTTTAACCATTAGACTACCCCACCGCCCCTCATGGGTCTCTGAGCTTTACAGAGAAGGATTCAATACCATGAAATATGTTGTTGTGGACATTACATGATAGAACGTGAATCAGTTGATCAAATTGTTTTGCTGTGACGAGTCAGGAAATAAGAAGGTCTGTTACCTTTTAATAGTGGGCAGACTTGAGTGATCATGCCAGTATAAGGGGTATTTCATAATAATGTCTTGTTGAAATGATTTTGAACATTATAGAACAGATAATATGTAATATAAGCAAGTTATTAGAAAGGGTAGCAACATTCAAGCAATATCACCAGGCAAGGGGACACCAGAAATGGGGTTCACACATTGTACCCATGTAGGGAATAGAACCCAGGTCACCATTTAACATCATGTAATGTCCACGACAGTGTTGGTATATGAAAAATTGAATTCTGATGTGTGTTAAGTTCCAGGAGCATGACTCAATTTATCAAAATAATTCTTCATTGTCAGAACTCAATTTTGGTCCAAGGGAGATAATGTAATAGTCAAAATGTCTAATGATATATTATTTGTACAGTATTGGACAATTTCTTCAACTGGTATTTTGAAGCTTCTTTTTAAATTTCAAATTGCTAATTTAACTTTTATTATGTTAAGTACTCAGGACCAGCATCAGAAGCCCCGACCCAATTTCCCAAGGCCAAGGGCTTACTTTTTCAAACAAAACCGAGGAGGACTCTGGTTTTGATCCAACTTATGAACCGCCCGAAGATATACTTTATATATTATTTTAATATCTGATATTTACTGTTGAAATCAGCTGGGATGCGACTGGCAGCTGGTACCTTGCCTTGCACGAGCAATGCACATGCTCTGCATGTGTTACCCGTGTCCTGCACGTGCGCTGCCCTCACAGTACCCGTCTTGTGAGGAACACATGGTTCATACTCAGTGTTCGCGAATAGCGTCTGACCCTCTGACAAATCCGGCAGATTCGCCAACGGTCCAATAGAAGTCTACAACCCACCGGCCCCAGTGTCCGACTGTATATTTCACAATGACGTTGACTGAAGTTGTTATATTTTTCCTTATCCTGACTCATGCTCTTTTGCTTGTCTTCTTCTTCTTGCGAACATAGTGGAACACTTGTATTTCCTTATTTGAAGCTCCCTTCAAAATAAAATCACTAATTGGTACTCACCACGAGTTGCTCCCCTTTGTTTCCCCTGGCGGGAAAGGTGTCGCCACCCTCTGGCCATGTGCTTCACTCTCTCCTTCTTCGCCCAGTGAGCAGGATGTGAGAGCGCCTCGTGTCTCCTTACACACCATATCCTTTGATAATCTTTTAGTTTTTACCTCTCATAGGTTACTATAGAGGTATAGCTAGTATCCTTTACTATTTGTATTGATTAATTATCGTATTTCTACTGTTTATTCACGTGTATTCGTGATTGTTCAGCTAGCTTTACGTTGATGAAAATCTGTACGATTTGTAGATTACGTTTTTCTGCCTCCGATCCACATGTAATATGCCCTAGTTGTTCTACGCCGTGTGCGTTTAATTCACGTTGCAGTTACTGCATTATTCTTTTTCAGAAGAAGTCCTCCTTGGGGTACATATAAGCATTAAAATGTCCATTTTAAAAGCCTACGACAGTTGTAACAATATTTCAATAAAATATTTTACCAAACAAAAAACTCGTTATGTGTGGTGAGACCACCCCTACAGGGCCCCGTAGAGGGCCCCCTACAGCCAAGAGCAGGTAACTCTGGCTGTGTACCTCGTACCTCACTTTTCATGCTGTCGTCGGCCGTGTAGGTCGATTGCATGGTCCAAGAAGCTACGAATAAGAGAGCGATGAGTGAGATAGAGTCAAATCCTGTATGTATGGTTCCTTTTTTTCGCTCGGGCGCTAGCTGGAATCTTTGTATGACTTTTTCATTCATGATTTGTGTAACTTTACCGGCGTGTTAGCTGTCTCCAGCCACGTGGCAGGCAAGATGGCGGACCTGGACCGCGGGGTTCCCGTTTGCTTTCCTTCTCCTGGCTTTAGAAAAAGCCTTGTAGTCGGGTTGTGAAAGGGCTGATATTTCATTTTGTAGATTATACTTGCCTAAATTCCTCTTTTTCCAGGCTTTAGGTAAGTTTTGCTTGAGTGTTTTCGTGACGCGTTTACGTGTCGCTCACACATGTTGCTCTTTGTCACCTATGTACGCAATTACGCTTCGCTATTATGGCTTTACGCTAGTATTTAATAGCTTTGCTGTAACAGTTAAAATATCGCCCGGGCGTTGTATTTTGTTCTGTTTTGTTGTGTGCATATTATATTATGTATATCGTACAGTCCTTGCTATTATCATAGCGTGGTTCTGTTTTTTGCAGCCCAAGGGGTGTGTCACCTGTAGCGGCAGTTTGTCGCCTCAGGATCGCCACCTGGTTTGCTTACGTTGTTTAGCGGAGGAAGCCCATGACGAACAAGGTTGTTCTATGTGTCAGGCTTTCTCCCCCCGCACCATCAAGTCCAGACGTGCTGATTACATGTTCTACACGTCCTTACTTCAGGCGGGGGGGGACATTTGGGGTCAGGAGCCGCCTAAAGAAATCCCCCAGTGGTTGACGATTGTGTTTACGCATCCGTCGCCCTGGGGGGTTCGTCGGGTAATTCTATGGCTTCAGCCAAGCAAGGTCGCCGGCTTCCGCCGTTCACGACTAACGCTACAGCGCTTAAATCCGCCTATCGATCCTTTGAAGAGCAATACCGCAATGCGGTTCAATGCCTCAAAGTGACGATCCATTCCGCCTACATCTCGGTGTTGCAGAGGCAACTACTGGATGTGGGTGGGGTGGAGGAAGATTCGTCTCCCTCCACCTTGGCTAAGCAATTAACGGAGGTACAGTCACATCTGGCGCGCGATTCTATCAGGTCGTCGGCTTGCCAAATGATGTCGGCGGTGATGGGCCTCCGTCGCCTGTGACTTTCGTGGCGAGGGTATTAAGCCTGCCACGCATAACAGGCTCTGCTGGCGCTGCCATTCCGGATGGGTTCTACCCTGTTCCCCGGGGCAGCTACAGTAGTCCGGGAGGCCGCGGAGGCTGTCTCAACCTTCAAGGACTCTAAGCCCTTGCTGGAACAGCCTCACACGTCTCGCTCGCGGCCCCCGGTTGTCTCCTCCGCATATCCTTCTGCCGCGGCGAAGGAATCTGTTAAATGGGCTCAGCCCTTGCAGTCGCGGAGGGGTAAGGGCAGAGGCAAGGGCAAGGGCCCCGCGCCCCACCAGCCTTTTCAGAGGAAGGGGAAGTCAGCCCCGGCTTCCCAGCTATAATTCCTCCGGAGCCCTTGTTGGTACCAGACCAAGCAGTCGGAGTACTGCCAAAGTCAGGTATTCAATGTCTCCTGCCACATATCCCTGTGGGTGGTCGACTTTCCCTCTTCCTGTCGGAATGGGAAAAAGTCACGTCCAATCCCTGGGTCCTGTCCACACTCAGGGAAGGCCACATGCCACAGTGGAAGCGAGACCCACCCCCCTTCTCCGGGATCCGTTGCACTCCAGTGCCGGCTGCCCTAGAGAAGGCGGAAGTGCTCCGTGCCGAGGTCCAGTCGTTGCTGGACAAGGCAGCCATAGAGGTGGTTCCTGTGGGACAAGAAATGTTGGGTTTTTACTCAACTTATTTCCTTGTCACCAAAAAGGACGGAGGGTTCAGACCTATTCTAAACCTCAAAGGTCTGAACGACATGTTAGAGGTACCGTCCTTCAAGATGGAAACACTGCGTTCGGTGATTTCGTCTGTGGAGAAGGGAGATTGGCTCACGTCAATCGACCTCAAAGACGCGTACTTCCATGTCCCTATGCACCCCGAGTTCCGGAAATACCTAAGGTTTTCCTTCGACGGGAGGTGCTATCAGTTTCGGGTACTCCCCTTCGGCATTTCCACAGCGCCACGGGTGTTCACCAAACTCATGCTAATTCCAGCTCAGGTAGCCAGGTCACAGGGCAGGTGCTGTCACCCGTACCTAGACGATTGGCTCCTTCGTGCGCTTGCCACTCACTTGAGTCGAGTTGCGACACTTGCTGTGATGAGTATTCTCACCAAGTTGGGCTGGATTATCAACCTCAAGAAATCAGAACTGGTTCCCACCCAGGATCTGGTGTTCTTGGGAGCGAGATTCGAGACAGCGCGAGGGATAGTCTCCCTGTCTCCGGACCGCGTCACCAAAGTCCAGAGAGTTGTGTTACAATTTCTCGAGTTCCCCAGGGCCTCAGCTCGGACTTGGCTCCAGTTGTTAGGCAACATGGCGGCAACGGTGGACATCGTTTGGCGAGCGCGGTTGAGGATGCGACCCATTCAGCAGGCTCTAGCTCGAATGTGGGTCCACACCCAGGGTTACGAGTTGATTCTCCACACTCCAGGGTGGCTAATTCCTCATTTACGGTGGTGGACACTGGCAGGGAATTTATCCAAGGGGCTCCCTTTGGACATCCCATCGCCAGATCTCTCAATTCAGACGGACGCTTCCCTCACAGGGTGGGGGGGCGTGCTGGGCGCCCTGTCGGTCTCAGGCCTGTGGTCACAGAGCGAGGCGCAACTGCACATCAATGTGCT